TTCAATGTTTTCGGACGGTAATTTAGCATGAGAATGAATTTTCAGCGAATGTTGGTAATTATTATTACGGACAAGGTCACGTTATGAAGCCACATCGGATTCGGATGACACATCATTTGTTGCTGAATTATGGAATATATCGAAATCTTGAAGTTTATGTGAGTTTTCTCAAATTACTTTGGTTCAATTCGATATGTTTGACTGTTTGGAATCATAATTTGAAGCTATTCTTCAAGTCCGAATTGATAATTGCGTATAAATTTTGTAGAGACCATTCCCAGCATCGTTCGATGAGATGACACGTTTCCATAGCCATGAATATATGATGTTTCTGCGAACAGCGAATCCGGATAACTTGAAGCAGTTCAATAAGCAGATGTTGAAATGTGAGTGACTAAATTTTTATTTATTTTTTTTCAAGTTTCATTTATTTACTCATTCATTCGTTCTAAATTTATTTTATCTGAGGATTGACTGGCGAAATTTTGCAGTTAACGTTGGAGAGGATTGCCCTGTATTCGATGGACTGTTTGAGTTTTGCCAGCTTTCAAGTGGAGGATCATTGGGTTAGTGTAATCTATTTATTTTCAGATACATTCACCATTTTTGTTGGTCCAGTGAAATTACTTTGAAAAGAAAGTTTATTTCATTACAACTTGAAATAACGATGGAAAAATTTTTAGCAGCAGCTGTGAAACTGAATAAACGTAAAGCGGATATAGCAATAAACTGGATGGGTGGATTACATCATGCGAAAAAGAGCGAAGCGAGTGGCTTTTGCTATACGAACGATATTGTACTGGGCATTTTGGAGTTGCTGAAGTATCATAAAAGGTCAGTGTGTTATCATTGTTTGTTGATGTGAATTACTTGATGTGATAGTGGTTGGGATAATAGTGAAGGTAATAGTAATAACGATAAATTGTTGGGCAGTTTAATGATTGTTGCCGAAGTATGCCTGCCTTTGAAATACATTTAAGAATAGCGACTGGTTTTCAGATAGTTGAATCTTAGAATTAGTGTGAAGCGTTGTTGAGTCTGATTGGAATTCGTTGCGGTTGTTAATGTTGGCATTATATTAGCAAACATGAGATTGTTTTGATTGTTTTATAAGATGTGGCATCCATCGAGTTTTTAACTGGTCGCATATGGTTTCATTACGTTTTGTTCAGGGTTTTATATGTGGATATTGATGTGCATCACGGTGATGGAGTCGAGGAAGCGTTTTATACGACCGATCGAGTGATGACAGTATCGTTCCACAAATACGGCGATTTCTTTCCGGGAACGGGTGAGCTGAAGGATATCGGTGCGGGCCGAGGCAAGTATTACGCAGTGAACGTACCGCTCAGAGACGGGATCACTGACGATTCGTATCAGAGTATCTTCGTGCCGGTTTGTTTTTGGATTTTTTTGTTCATTTTTCGGTGGGTAGGGACTTGTTTGAGCCTTTGTTAATACCAATAGTGTTTGATCATAGATTTGTAGGGAATGTTGGTGATGACAAATGTATAGTATAGTGATATTAGTAAGGATGATGTTTGATGTTAGTAACGATAACGGTTGAAATTTTCAAGGTAATGACGAAAGTAATGGAAACGTTCCAACCGTCAGCCGTTGTTCTGCAGTGTGGTGCGGATTCGCTGAATGGTGATCGATTGGGCACATTCAATTTGACTCTGAAAGGTGGCAATTTTCAAATTTCGTAGTGAAATATTTACGACACTAATCGTCAGTAGTGATTTTTTTGACGGAGCACTTCCGTTTTGAAATTGCTGATTGTTTATTCGTTTCGTCTGAACTTAGGTCACGGCGCATGTGCACGGTTTTTCCGAGAACGTCACATACCGTTGATGATGCTGGGCGGTGGTGGGTATACACCAAGAAATGTGGCACGATGTTGGACGTACGAAACGTCGATTGCTGTTAATATGGAAATTTCCGATGGTTTGTGAATGTTTTTTGTTATGTTCTGTTGAAATCTGTTAATTTTATTGTGTTTTGGAAATGTTATGTTGAAGGGTATTTGCATTTTGATAGCATCATGAAAGAGGAATAAATGGTACGGAAATAAATTCTTGTAGATTTGCCGTACAACGACTACTTTGAATATTTTGGCCCACACTATCGACTTCATATTGAGCCGTCAAATGCAAATAATGAAAATACACCTGAATTCCTGCATAAAATTCAGTAAGTTTGAATTGTTTTTCCATCAGGTTTTCAAATTTTTCCGTTAGTATGATTAAAAAGTGGATGTTTCTGTCTGTTACTTGAACTGCTCATAATTTTCCGTGATTCTTCTCTTGGTTTGAGTTGGTTATTTCGTTCTTGCAGAGAGGGCGTAATCGAGAATCTCCGACACGTGGCTCATGCGCCGAGCGTTCAGATGCAACCGATTCCAGAAGATGCCATCAAGTGCATTAATAACGAAGAGATTGCACGGGATCTGGCCAATCCGGATGTTCGTCTACACAGTAAGGAATTTGAATGCGATTTACGACCATTTATTGATGGATCAGATGTCATAAAAATTCTGATTTCACCCTTCAGTAGTCTTGCTATGCACTGTTATTGATCGTCGTTGAGTTTTAGACTGTATGACTTTTTAGTTAAAGTGACAAGTGATTTGTAATTGCTGAGATTGTTAACATTTGTGTGTAAAACCCGAGTTGTTCATTTCCGAAAAAAGCTTATCG